TTTAAGTTCATTTAAAGAAATAATTAATAAAAAGAATTTTATATGAATTACATATTACATATATATTGTATATATATATATTATATATATAAATTTATATACCGACAAAATGTACAATTAATAAAGTTAACTAAGTCGGTAATAGCAGATTATTTTGTTACCTATACAGTCACATCATTTAATCGAGCGAGTAACTCAGTCGATAATAGTAGACTTAATCTGCAGTCGGTAACACTAGACTTTATTTCTCGTCGGTAATAGTAGATGAATCTACAGTCGATAAATCAAAAATTTCAATACTTTAACTAACTTTGAAAATAAATGTAGCAGAGATAAATTAATCCTTTTTGAGATTTATTTCATTTTTTATTGAGTTTATTGAATTTATATGTCATTCAAGATTTAACTGACGTTTTTCTAGATAACTCTTCACTACATCGCTCTCTCTTTCGTACTTTTTGTTATTACTTATTTATTACTATAATTGAAACATATTTATTTGATTTTTTTTACAGGGATATGGGCTAGCCGAGCACAGCGACACAGCCGATTTGTTGAAAAAAAATTATCCTGATTACGATGTTACTTGGTCAAATGATCGTTATTATTAAAAAGAACTAAAGTATTTCTACCCGATGCTAAAAACTTCTATTAAATCTTCTCCTTTGTAAAGTATTTATTAAATATTTAAATAAAAGGAGCAATAAAAAAATCAATTTTTTGTACTTGTTATTTAGTAAAGAATTTATCATTAAAATTATGAATAATAATATAGTCATATATTTATTATCAAAACATTTTTTTTTATGTGTAGCATTAAGATCATCATCTGATTAAATATTTATAATTTAACTAGTATTGTTACTTTTCACTTAGATACAAACCTATCTAAGACACCATAACTTTTCTTGGGAGCTTCCTTCTTTTTCAAAGAAATTTCTTCAGATACATCTTTGAGCATTTCTATGTGTTCCTAAATATAGTATAAATTCAATATTAGTTCGTAGAAAATTGTGCGTTTATTTAATATTATTGCTATACTTACTTTACGACTTAATTGTTTTAAAATCTTTTTAGTTTTAATTACTTTCGCAGTTCCACCTTTACCTTTCGATTTAGTTTTACGTGGCTTAAAATCTATCTCCTTCGGCTTAATATACTACGATTTAAAAACAAAATTACAATCATTTAATATAGATTATTTTATATGTAGTCATAACAATAATAATGTTAAAATGATAACATTATTAAATTTGTAATATTACAATAATCAATTTGTTACTTACTAAAAGTTTCTTCTTCGCTTCGACTTTTTCTTTTAATCTAGGAACATCTACTTCTGCTAAAGCTGTTGGATCTAATGATATTAGTTCTGGTTGAATTTTATCTAAAAGTGCTTTAACCTCTGCCTCGCGTCTTTGTTTCTTCGTTTGATATGGATTTATTTCTAAAGCATCAAAATTAGCTTCTGCACTTCCAGGAACTAGGACAGATGTAAAATTTTTGGCTGTTGCAACACCTAAAACATCTTCGTATGGACAGAACTCCATACTTGACGCATTCCATGATAATCTATGTCTTAAATATGGTTTTATTTCATTCATGGATTCTCTGTAAACACAATTCAAATATATTAATAAATTAAATATACTGCTGTCTGAATTAATACAACATGAAATGTTATTATAATATTATTTTACCTATAAACCTCTACTACATTTCCCATAGCAACTGCTAAAAGACCTCGTTGACTGTATGCTAAATGTTGTGCTGGATGTCGAAGAATCAAATTATGAACAGGACCTGCAAGTTGACGAATATCCCAAACTTTCATATATTTATTTGAACAACTTGTGGTCATATAAGTTCCATACGGATGAACGACACAAGCTTCAATTTTGTTTTTATGACAAAGCATTTTTGCTAGCGGTTGTTTAGAATTAGGAGACCACATTGATACTACTCCTTTAGTATCACCAATACATATAAGCGCATTAGCTGGATTTTGTGTCATAACCTATATTAAAATATTCATTGAAATTATTAACAAATATATATTTTATATTATATATTCATATATGTAAATAGAAATATCTGCTTATAAAACTTACAGATATGTTATTACATGTGGTAGAAAAACAAGAAATGAGTTTTCCTATAGAAACATCCAACCATGAGAGATAACTAGTTCTGGAACCACTGGCAAGTAAAAAGTGATACGGCAAAAATTCTAACTTATTAACATCGTTCATTCTCTTTAAACAATGAAGTTCTATTCCTTGATTGTCATAAATATAAACCCAATCTTTTTGCGCAGTGGCAAACATTGTCTCAACATGAAGCCATGATACATCATGCACAGATTCCATAACGTTCATTTCACAAGCAAGTTTTTTAGTAACCCAATCGAATGCTGCTACATGTCCTTTCTTTCCACCTAAGACTAAATGTCTACCATTTTTAAAGTATTTTAAACAATACGGACCAAAATTTAAATCTAGTCTAAAGAATTTAGTAGCGCTTGTTATATCGACATTAGCAGCAATCTCTGATTGCTTGTATTGAAGCGTTGAATCTCCAGGATCAGCCTCTAAATGACCATAATCTTCAGTTAAAAGTAATTCTGTTCTAGCAGCATCCTCGATTGCATGCTTTATAGCTTTTTCTTTCAGTTTAAATTTCTCCCGGTGTATTTTACTTTTTATCTTAGTAGTATCTTCCTTCAAGTTTATTCCAGTTCCTTTATCATACTTTAAAAGTCTTTTTTTAGAGATGGGAACTCTTCTTGGATATGATCCCTTTTTTTTCTCTAATATAAATAAAGGAAAACTTTTTATGTTTATTTATGCATATACATATAATACATACCCAAATGCAAATGCAAGTTTATTTTACTATCAAATGAAAATAATACGTACGTGTCTTATCCATCGTAAATAAAACTTATATTAGCTTATAATTCTTATTATTAGAATAACAATTCCAATTATTTTCACTCAAACAACTTGAACGACTATTCAACAATAACATGTGCTTTTTAACCTAATTTTACTTTACTAATTATTAGTAAGAATCTCTTCTACATATGCTACTGCACGAGTTTGCAATTCGAATGACGAGACATCTAGTATCGTATTGTGTATCTTCCAGTTGCATTTTGTTACAAGTTGCAACGTGCGAATGACGAGACATCTAGTGTCATATTTTATATTTTCCAATTGCATTTTGTTACCTACAAAACATGCAAATTAAAGAAAAAGAAACGAATGTACACGAACGTTTGATTTAACCGGAGAATAAGACATTGTCTGGAAAAAAGAAAATGTTATATTCTCAACAGTGTTAATTGTAATCGTTAAAAATTAATATGTAATTAATATTGTTGGTTATTTTACTTTTTTCCACGGCTTTTTTATTATATGTTTTCTTCAATTGTAGCTACTAGCAGAGAAACAGATTATATTTATAAAAGTGTATTTACTATAAACGTTGTTTAGTTTTTTGTTAAAACTAGAAATCTTTTGCGAAAATTATATGTATATTATTTTATCTAACCACTCTTCCTCCAAGACCACAAAGTTTTATTAATCATGAACACTGCTCCTGATCCAAAAGATGTGCAGGTATGGTTACACTTTCAATTATTTTATGTTTTATAAATATATATATATATATATATATATATATGTATATTAATAATTACATAAACTTGTGAAATCACAATTTATTTTTAATTAATCATGTAGGTTTCATTTATATTTTTCTTTTTTGTAGTAATGTTACTAAATATGATATCATTTATATATGAGTGCTCATTAAAGCGCAATAAAATAAAAGAAAATATAAATAATATTAATGATAAAATATATATATATATTGTGATTTCAGGAATTTCTGTTCAAACAGGCAAATGTATCACAAATATGTGATAGTTTCACATCCATTCCATTAGCTTGCAACCTTGTTACTATAGACAAGAAAAGAGGATTACTTTTTATAGCAAATAATAATAAATTGACTATTTTAATATCAGGAAGCGAGATCAATATAGAACGCAAAATAGAAGTCAATTTACCTTTTATTATATCTAAGATATCATTTAACTGTGATTATTCATACCTTGCCGTTACACCATCGGTATCTAAAGTATTCATTTACGATGCAAATGCTTTTATAAAACATGTATGTATAGTATAAACTTGCGACTCATAGAAACAATGGGTACATATTAATGTTTAATATTTTATTATTTTTAGGAAGTAATATTATTACACGAAGTTCAATTATCTATATCAAATGCAGAAACTTTTGTTTTGGATTTACGATGGAATCCTACTATGCCCAAAATGTTCTGTACTGTAACAACTGATCATACTATTGGCAATTTTGAAATAAAAGATGGAAAGGAAAATGCAATTGGATTAAAAGCATTAGAGAAGTTAAATGGAATTGAAGCCTTATGTTTGGCATGGAGTCCCAAGGGAAAGCAATTAGTTGTAGGATGTAAAAATGGAAATATTGTCCAACTTAAGCCAGACTTAAAAATTGCTAGAACTATCTTAGGACCTAATCCATACGTTGGCGAAGTTATATCTATCTTATGGATTAGTAATTATCAATTTTGTGCAGCTTATTTAAGCGATGAACAACATATTAATGTTCTTATTATTGATGCTCCTAAAGGGGAAGCTAATGGAATTTTTACATTATACGAAGATATAACGTATGGAATGTTCGAGGTAGAAGGAAATAAAGATACACCGCGTTATTATTTTGATTGCATACAAGAGTGGGGTCTCATCATTGCTGCAAGTAGTGGGAGTAGTGAAGTAGCTGTTTTAGGATCAATAGATGGTGGTAGTACTTGGAATCAATGGCAACTGATTGATAGTGGAAGAGCACAATTACCACTTATCAGAACGACAGAAAGTTATCCAGTTGGTTTTGCCATAGATAGAACACCGACACAAAAATTAGCATGGGGAACAGATTCGACTCTTCCACATCCTGTTCCTATACTTCATATTTTAGGAACTTCTGGTCAGTTATGTAGTTTTCACATGGTTAATTTAACTCCCAATTGTCCTGCCATTACTTCGCCACCTACTGAGACTGTAACTTTTCCATCTTCTCCAAACACGATACTTTCTAATGTATCATTAAGTAATGTAATAACCAGTACACCTTATTCAAAAGAAAATCGAAACGTTGGATTATCCGATCGTTCTAAAACTGTAACGACAAATATTTTTGGAGATTCATTGAAAGCTGCTGGATTTTTACAACCTCAACAACCTGCGCAACCACAACAACCTGCACAACCACAACAACCTGCACAACCTCAACAAACTCCACAACCTCAACAACCTCCACAAACTGTGCCAAATACTATAGAGGAAAAAGTATCAATTCCTGCTAAAGTTGATGTCAAATTGGATATTCCTAAAAAATCAATTCCTCAAGAAATTGAAAAAGTAGATCCCAAACCTGTTGTAACTAAAGAAGTCCATGCAAGTAAACCTGCTGAACAACAAAGAGTACAAATTGATGATAGTATTTATGTACGTGCTTATATAGAATTATTTACTCTTTTTGAAAAAGAATTAAAAAATAGGATAGAACCACAAGTATTTGAGTGTGGATCAGAGGAGGAACGACAACAGTTAGGAGAAAGATCAGTTATAGTAGATCAATTTCTAACAGATTTACGAGAAACCACAAATAGTCTATCCGCCGATATTGCTTATTTGAAGGCTTTACTTTTGCAATCTTTTGCCTGGGTCGAAGAAGCTAGATCAAAAAATGCAGTAAATTCAGAAGGTGGTACTACTAGAAATTGTGAAAATAGTAAAATAGCAGAAACGCAAAAGCTTTTTCATCATACTCAATCCCAACTTATACAAGCAAACAAAATTCTTGATTTTGAATGGTCGGAACATATGTATCAAAAAAAATCTAAAATGAAAATTCCCAGTTTGGAATTTCTTTATCAAAATCTTGTATTGCATAATAAAATTATTCTAAAGGAAAAGAACAGAATAGAACAACTTAATAAAAAGTTGAAGTCAGTAAATCGTACAAATAAAATTTCTGGATTAAATCAGATGATGAGCAATGTAAAAGTATCGCCCAAAGGAACGCCAAATCTTCAAGGAAATACAGATGTTATTGATGCACGGTGTAAAACTATTGCTTTTAAGACGCTTAGTTTTTCATATGAAAAACAATTGAAATTAAAAAATTTACTTCTAGAATCATCGCCAAAACTTATAAAACCTGCAACTCCATCTCCTATTCAAGATCGCTTAGAGGCTACTTTATCTTCTTTGGCATCTCTAAGTCCTGTAAGTACAGATTCTAAAAACAGAACAGAACAGCCTCTAACCAAATATGATTCAGAAAAGGAAGATACCATAGAAGGACTTAAACCGCAATGTCCTTTGGCTTTATTGAATAATGTTGTTGCCAAGATTGGATCACCTGATACAAGTTCAATGTTGATACAAAGCAAAACATCAGCCAAACAAATTTCTAACGTTGCTTCTTTTCCTCCTTCAGCTGTTAACAAATTTTTACAAGCTGACAAAAAATATCCTGAAAATTTTGAGGCGCTGTCACAATCTATAGGCAAAAATAATGCTACTGCGGACGCAACAATACAAAAAACTTACAGCAATGTATATGCTAAAGCATTATCTAAAGATACAGAGATTAAAAATAATAATCAAACATTATTAAAAAATACCTTTGAATCAATGTCATTTTCAAATAGCTCATTAACAAATGCATTACCATTAGAATTTTCATCAGTCAAAAATCAGCCCATATCACGAAATATTATTGCTTCAATGACATCAGGTGTACCATCAACAATTGCTAAAACTGATGCTATGAATACATTTAGTTTTGCTAATTCAAATATGTTGCCTGCAATGGTAAAAAATTCCTCTACTCCTACATCTGCTTCTTATTCCCCGGAAATATTTTCTTTTGTTTCGGATACTATAAATTCCATGTCACCGGCCAACCAACCACAAAAAGAGTTACTCAATTTGATGGGAATATTTTTAGATCTCGAGAAAAAAGATCAGACTGAAATAACATCTATTGCAGAAAATGTTTCAGTAAATAATAAGGGCAATGCTACTATTAATTCACTCCCTTCAACTGATACTAATCCACCAGCAGTTTTTACAACTCAGGCTACAACTAATAATAATATATTTGGAAATCTTATGTCAAAACCTAATATAGAAAAAACTTCTGAAGCTTCAATCTCGTCTGTTCCTGGAACAAATAGTACAAGTGATAAAACTTCATCTACATTTGGAGCAAGTAATACTCAAGTACAACAACCATTAAATACATCAACATTATTTAGTGGACAACCGGCGACTTCTAATGTATCTATTTTTGGAGGTAATTCATCTCCTATTTCAACTGCATCGACTTTTGGAATAACTAAAACTACATCATCTGTAACACAAATGTTTGGAACACAAACTACTCAATCTTCTTCAATTAAATTTAGTGGATTTTCTTCTACTCCTTCAATAATATCTGACTTTAATACAACTACTACAAATGAAAGCACCACTTCGCCATTTTATGGCTTCTTATCTAAACCAGTCTTTGGCCAATCTAGTAGTACTGTACCAACATCGAATGTAGCTGCGGTAACTACTTCATCTGCTGCATTAACTTTTGGGAACACTACAACAGCGTCCTCGATTGCAAATTTGTCTCCTCAAATTTTTGGAAAAGCTGCACAAACAACAGAGGCAAATTCTCAATCCTTCCCAACAACGTCTGTTACTTCAGTTACGAATATCTTTGAAAAAACAGCTATAACATCTAATCCTACACCATTTAACAGTCCTCCAAGTACGCCTGTATTTGGTAGTATATCTACGACTCAATCAACCACCTCAGTTTTTGGAGGAAATCCTCCA